CCCCTTTTTTTTTTTTTTTTTTTTTTTTTTTTTTTTTTTTTTTTTAAATCCCTGCTTCTTTCTTTCATGGAGATCTGCCTGCCTCTGCCACCCAAGTTCTGGGATTAAAGGCAAGGTGTGCACTACCATGCCCAGCCTGCTAGCTTTCTTATAACATACTTTGATTATAACTTCTTCATAAGCAAACTGTCAGTGCTGGGAAGACATGTTGTCCAAATACAGAGTAATTCCGTAATGCTGTGGTGTTAAGGGTCAATTGGTAGAGTGCTTGCCCAGCACTCGTGAAGCCTTGTGTTTGACCCCAAGCACAAGTAACTCTGGAGTAGTGGCACCAGAACACTTGTGATGTTGGAGAACCAGAAATTCAAGACCATCCTTCTCTGCTTAGAGAGATGGAAGCCAATCTGAGCCATGAGACCATCTGAAAACAACAAAGAGTTGGAGAGATAGCTCAGGGTTAAGAGCGCTTGCTGCTCTTGCAGAGGACCAAGGTCAGTTCTCAGTACCCATGTCCTGCAGCTCACAACTGCCTATAAGGGGAGCTGGTGCCTCTGGCCTTTGCAGACAGTCACATACACACAGACGCATAAATAAAGCAAATCTTTAAAACAGCAACAAGGCAGGCATAGTGGCACATATCTGTGAGTTCAATGCATGAGTTCTAGGACAGCCAGAGCTACATAATAGACCTTGTGCCAGAAAACAAACAAACAAAAAAAGGTATTCCTCATTCCTCCTTACCAAGGTGTACTTTGGGTTATAAATATTTTAAGTTTAGGTTTGGTAAAGTCAAGTCAGTATTGATGGGAACTTAGAAGCTGGTGTCCTTTTACAATGAAATCCATGCTGGGTATGATGGCGTATGCCTGTAGTCTCAGCATTCAAGAGACAGAAGCAAGAGGGTAACTGCAAGCTTGATGTCAGGTTGGTCTACATAGTGAATTCCAATGCCGCCTAGGCTACAGTACAGGTCTATATTTGATGGGTATGAGTGTTTTGCCTGCATATGTATAAATGTACCATGTGGGTGTGCATGTGCCTTGTGTGTGTGTGTGTGTGTGTGTGTGTGTCTGTCTGTCTGTCTGTCTGTCTGTCTGTCTGCCTGCCTGCCTGCCTGCCTGCTTGTCTGTCTGCCTGTGTACTTGACTGTCTGTGTCTGGTGCCCAACAAAGCCAGGAGAGGGCACCAGATCCCTTGGAACTGGAGTTATGTTTGTGATATGCTATGTGGGTGCTAAGAACTGAACCTGGGTCCTCTGCAAGAGCATCAGGTGCTCTAACTGGTTAGCTATCTCTTTAGCCCCAAAGCAAGGAAAAATAAAAGATCCAGAGACAGACATTGGAGTTAAAGCTTCAAGCTGAAAATCAGAGAAGCAAAGCAGCCAAGCCAGTAGATCTTAACCTTTACCCAGCTGAAATGGCAATCCTGTCTCCACAAACCCTCAGAGGCAAAAGGCTCTCAATTTCTCTCTCCTCTTCCTTATATTCCTTTCTCTGCCCAGTCATATCACTCCTGTCTCCACCCATTGTGCTGGGATTAAAGACGTGTGATCCCAGGTGCTGAGATCACCTTTGTGTGAGCTGTATCTTTTAGGACTGGGTTAATTTCGTGTAGTTCAGTGTGATCTTGAACTAACAGATATCTGTCTACCTCTTAATTCTGAGTCCTGGGATTAAAGGTGTGTACCACCACTGCCTAGCTTCTATAGGTAAAGAGTGTGGCTGCTTTGCTATTTTGATCTCCAGTGGCTTTAATAAATCATAAACAATATATCACCACACAAGTCTATCCTAAAAAAAAAAAAAAGCCAAAAAGGTATACTTTATTTCATTTTCTTGAAGATTGTTGTAAAATAAAATGTCTGTGTATTTTTGTCATAGTGAATTACTAAAAGGATTACACAGTAAAAAAAAAGCAACTGGATTTCTTTACCCAAATTGATAAGCCAAAGCTGTCCTCTGAAATGAACTTGTACTTGTGAGTTGTTAGAACATACACTTGCTTATTTTCTTGTTATGTTGAAGGATATGGACTAAGAATTTTCAGTATTGTTTGTTTGTTTGTTGTAGAGATCCAAAATTCCAGTGTCAACTAAGTGGAGAGGCAGACCCTCATTGTATCTGCTTGGGGAACAATCCTTTTAATGGCAACACTGACAGCCTGAGATTTGGAGAAGTACTAATGGCTTTCAGACTGGGTTGGAAAACTTCAAGGAGCCATTGGAGTTTCCTGCAGGCTGTGAGCAGTGGGTTCCCTCTGATTTCCTGGAGGACAGCAGGGAGCTGTTTGGACCCTGAGATGAAAGCCTACCTGGAGGAGAATACTGAAGTCACCAGCAGTGGTAGCCTTACCCCTGAAATCCAGTTACGGCTTTTGACCCCCAGGTGCAAGTTCTGGTGGGAAAGGGCTGAGCTGTGGCCCTACAGTGATCCCTACTGGGCAATCTACTGGCCAGGTGGCCAGGCCCTGTCTAGGTATGTCTCACTGAAATGTGAATCTTTACGGCTGATGGCTATTGAAGAGTCATTCTCTCAGCACCCACCCCCACCTCCATTCCCTTCTTTCTGGTCCCTTAGCATAACAGCAAAACAAGGAAGTCACTGGGGCTCACATGTTCCAACTTGTATATGGTATGGGTTGCTTTCCTTCTCGTAAAGGATTTGTAGAAGATTTGTATTTGTAGAATCCTCTCGTAGAAGAGGATTTGTCCTATGGGAAGATATAGTCATCTCCAAAAAGGCCTCCTATGTAGTTATTCGTGATGATGTGTACATCCTTGTGTTGTGCCCAAATTCTGAACCCAAAAATCACCAAGAGGCCCATTTCAATGCAAAAGCAGTCTTTTATTGCAGTTGTTTAAACAGCTAACCCCATTAGCTCGGGCCTTTCATCTATCCTCTGCAGCAGATGGTTAGAGAAAAGACCCCTAGAAACCATGAGGCAGGGATCTTAAAAGGGCAGTGTTAGGGGAGTGTCTAGAGGTACGCACAGTCTCAGGATTGCTGTGCTTCCAGGCTTGGACAGCTTGCCCTGTGTTGATTGGTCAATTGGTTGTTATGGCCCATAGGTCTTCCCAGGGCGGTTGCTATGCTCTGCATGTCATTGTTGTGCACTTGTCCGTAAAGCACATTCAGAGCAATAAAGCGTGGTCCTGTTAGCTAACTTCTGATTGATTCCTTGCCACGAGGCATCTGGCCTCCTAGTGACCAAGGCATTCCCAGCAAGGTCAGGCAAGCATGCGTTAGCTTGTCATGGCTGCCAAAAGTGGGGAGCAGCGCTGGTCCCTTCACTTGTACTTCTAGCATTTGGAAGCTGATCCAGGAGGGTTAGGAGTTTGAAGCTGCCCTGTGATATATACCAATGGTTTCTTTAAAAAATTTAGTCTCTGTGTATTTACATTCTTGATTTTCACAGTTGCCATGGGTGGGGTTGGGGGTTGGGGG